CCCCGCCCAACCCGCGCGGGCGCGGCCGTGTGGAGGGCTTGGCCACGCTCCCAGAGAGGTGGAGGGGAAGGGGGCGAGGAGGGCCGCAGTGCGCGGAAAGTGAAAGGCCCCCCGGGTAGGGTAGGTAAAGATGTTGCGAGCTGATCGGATTTGAAGTCGAGCGAGGGCGCAACTTTTCCGAACCGATTTTACAGATTAAATTGGCCATTCAGGCCTTTCCTCTACAAAAAAAGAAAGAAAGAAAAACAACATCTTTTGCGACGCTTTTGCTTTTAGGGATGAAAAGACAGGAAGCGTGAGAGGGGCCACTCGGTCTCTTGGCAGCGCGCAGTGCCTCGCCCGATTCTTTGTCTCCAGCGGAGCAGTCTCCGCGACCCTCCGGCGGCGGCCCCCCTCCGTTTGCAAAAGGCATTAGTCCCGGCGCCCACAGCGAGGTCCCTAGCCTAAGCCAAGATCTGGCTGGCATCTTGCGGTGCTCTCTACTGCTACACACATACAGGCGGCAGACAATTTTTGCTCGGATTTTTCATTGCAGTGTCTTCTGATGTCGCATGGGCCATTGCCAGGGCCGTTGTGTGAAGTGGGTTCCCAAAGTCGCCTGTTTCCGGTGGTGACACGCCGACCGCGCACCGTCCCGTCCCGCCCTCGGCGTCAAGGGGCAGAAAGGGAGAGAGTGAGTAACCACGGGTGCCTACAGGAGCCAAATCTGCGTGCGCGTGGTTGCAACAAAACGATCCCATCCTAAGGGCTACACAATAAAAGCCTGTGAACATTTTTATTCATAGCTTAAGCTTTACTGAGTTCTGTGTACGTGCTATGCTTACGCATTTTTTGATACGCCGGTATGAACAAATTTGGTTGAGATAACTCCAGTATTGGGCGTACAAATTTCACGAACTGAATTTGAACTGGCTTGAGTTGGGCTCAATTGGCTGCATTGTTTTTGAATTGGTTTGACTTAATGTCATTTTTTACTGAATTAGCGCGAATTGACTAATGACTTAATTGAAATTGTCGTAAATTGAATTCATTGAATTGGTTTGAATTAATTTGAATTGTGTTGAATTACAATCAATTAGGCAGAATTAGGGGTGTACACTTAGTAGGGGAGATATTTGCCTATTTGGCCTCGTTACATACACAACTGAATAAACTAATTTATAACCTATAAATCTGGTCTTTATATTTCTCGACATAAAAGGTGCCCCTCACCAGAAGGAAAACGAATAACGGACTCTTCCTATTGTAAATGGGTGACAACTATTTACAATGCTGCAGGAGAGTGAATCACTATCCATCGACCATCTCGTAAAAAAGTAACCAAAGCTCTATTTTTTTTTTCAGCCGTTGGCGGGGTTTTCACAGCACGGAACGGTTTTCATTTCCCGTGTGGTACGAACGCAGATTTACATCCGGCTAGTACCAGTGGGACACGACAAGTGGACGATCGAGCGAAGAAACGAAACTCTTTTTCCTTGTTCTCTATCATTATTTTTTTCTTTTCGATTAGAGGGAAAGGCGGCCTCGGCCAACACACGGCGACATCAGAGGGGTCGGCTCCGGGCCGACTGCGCCCCGGTCACGGAAGCAGAGTGATCAATATTTAATTTGGCCCCCGCTGCATACACGGGCCCCACCCGGGCCGCTTCCAGCGGGTCCTCCAGAACTAACAGGCCGGGCCCAGGCCCGCGCGCCCCGCCCCACCCTCCGGCAGGGCGCCAGCGTGGCCGCAGCCCCACCCCGCCCGCAGACACACCGCGGGCGCCACTCCGCTCCGCCCCGCACAGCCCCGCCGCGGTCTGCACGGACGCACCCCCATTACAGCACACTTTTCTTATCTCCCACTCCATATTATTAAAACGATTCGTTAGAGCTGAAGTGAGTGTGTGTGAGCGCGTGGGTGCGTGTGTGAGAGAGAGTGAGAGAGCGAGCGCGCGGGCGCGTCCGCGTCCGCGCAAGAGTCTGGCAGCAGGTGGTGCCGTGCTAACAATACCCATGCGTTGGAAGCTGGCGCCTGCGTCTCTCTCTCTCTCTCTCTCTCTCTCTCTCTCTCTCTCTCTCTCTCTCTCTCTCTCTCTCCCTCTGTCTCTCTCATGCGGTGGTGGTGATTGCACGTTGCACTGCTCCCTGCTGCTGTCGCCTGTCGCAAAAGAGATAACGACTATATTTTCGTGACCTCACGCAGTGGGGTAGAGGAGGTGTACAGAAATCATTGTGCTAAGGGTAAGAGATATTTTCCCGACCTTGCAGGGCTACTTCAATTTTTCGATGACCCGACCCTAAACAAAGGTCTCTCGTTTCGCCGCGACAATGATCTGCTGAGCCCGGCTCCAGCGGCCCCGCCCCGCCGCA